CTAACTGTAAAATTTATTACTTAAACATTTTATATTTTTAAGTTCAAGTTCTGAGTTCAAGTGTTTTTCTTCTGCGGCTACATTCGCATTGGTTAAATTTTGGTTGAATCTAAAATGCTTGTAGGTATGTTGTAGATCATTATACTCCTGGCGTTATTATCTTACTTTTGATGTAGGTAATTTTAGCTCAGTCTTTTTTCGTTGCATAATGTTTATGTTTTTGTAACTTCTTCTTCTTCGTGTAATTCCTTGTCGTGTTCAACGTACCGGCATTATAATTGGTTCTTGATTCATTTTTTTTTTCTTTTTGTTGTGTTGTAAGTGGTAAGGAATTTTAGAGAGGTAAACATATTTCTATTTTATATTGTGGTAGGCATATTATAATACTTGAATATTGAATATTTATGAGAACGTGTTAATATATAATGTACTCATACTCTTTGTTGCATACATTCACGCGTCAAGTATTATAATAATTATTATTATTATCATTATTAAATTTGCGATTATTGGAACACATATTTTCTTTTTGTGAAATTCAATGTTGTATAGAATATTGTTGCGGTGTCTAGACTATATATTCATGTTCATTTTGCGCTGCTCGCAGTAATCAATTATGTATAGCTGTGGCGTAAAATTTATGAAAATTTATTAACATTTATGTATCATCACATTGCCATCAAACCACTAGGTAACGATATCTACGCTTTGAAAACACATTATTTATTCCATCATTTCAAATTGTGACAACGAGCATTGACACGATAACTAGCCGTAATTAACACTTTAATCAATTTTATCGCAAAATATTGCAACAGAGTTACAATCGGAATTTGCATGATTTTCCATAGGAAAATCAAAATGTAGAACCAAACTTAGTTATTTATTCACAATTCAAGAAAAATTTAAAATAACAATCATTTTAAAAAAGTTTAAATGCAGAATTTAGTGATGAGCTATGTTTGTTATTCTTTCACGTGTGGACCACTCAACTAACTTTGAGTATTTTGTGGTATAATTATAGATGTATCTTAGGAAAAGAATATAGACTGCTTTTAGACGCAAAAATAAAACAAGAAAGGTGTTAAAATAGCGATAATAGCTTGTATGGACAATTAGTGCTATTTATAGTTCTATATTGCAAACTTAGATGGCGCTGAGATACACAACTGGTATTATTTAGCCATTTTTGCTAGTATGAACATCAAGCACTATTATTTACGCATTAAAAATTGTTTATTATTAAATTACTAACGTGTGAATCTTCACCATTCCATAAGTAATTATTAAATACTAAATTTGCGCATTAACAAAAATATTTCATATGAAATAAATAACATAACCTATAAATTTCATATGTTCGATACTTATACCGCAGGTCAAATCATCAAATTACCTATACTAATAATTTATGTGCCTGGCAATAAACAAGTACACTGTTATCAGTTTCAAAGTGTTATTCCTTTCCTAAATGTAATTCCAAAGTAAAACATTTTCAAAAATATGAGGCAATAAATTTCCCTAAAAATTTACTTACATCGCCTACAATTATTTTGCAAACATTATAACATCTACAACCAAATAATTACCTCAATATATGAATTCTGTACTCGCATACGAGTATTCACCGACCTAGAAAATTTGAATGTGTGCATTTATTTAGCATTAAAATATCTTCTCTAATCTATGTTAAGTGATACTCAAGCAAAGCTCATACGCTTACATGTAAAAAAAAGGTTTGTTGTTATTATGTGAACCGAAATTATTCGAGCTATGTATTTTTTTTATCACCAGCGCGTGATTTCGGTGTTTGTTCGCCTGCGCATATTTGTTTTTGCGTGCATTCGACAGTGCGATCTTGAAATTAAATATTTTAAACCAAGTTATTATTACTATGGTATTAAACGTCAGCTTTAAAGAAAAGCCTTAATACCAGCAGTATTAAATACTCAAGGCCACATGCGGTTATGAAACCATCTTTAAATCTTAATTAAATTTTGAGCACTTAAGACATGTAATGCACGATTAAATATTTTAGGTGTATATTTGAATTAATTACTTTCTTGTAATACATTTTATTTACGATTTTGAATCGATTAAAAATTTTATTACTTTGTACTAATTAATTTTACATGGTTTTTATAACCAATAAACTTCATCTTGAGGTCATATATATTTTTTCTTCAGAAAATTAAAACTGCAGTTTTAAGTTTTTTTTATTTTCTGAAATATTAATTTTTTAAATTATTTTCTTGATCATTTTCGTTTAAAACTTGTTGCTAATATTAACTAATTTACTACTTAAATTTACTATCAATTGACATTTTAATCAATTTTCTGATCTTTTAAATAGTTGAGTTATTGCGAAATAAATTTCGTTGGATTTTTCATACATTTCTCAAATTTGCTCATAATATTTAAAACAAAATATGTTTTTGACAAGTCAATACTATAGTTCACGTAAATATCTATCAAATACAACAAAAAATATCATGCGTATCTCTTGTAGTTTCCGAGATATAACCGTTTCAATATATTTTTTATTACATTTTACAACACTAGTTTTACTTTTGCATAAATCAATCAACTACACAAAAACTACGACACGTATCAATTTTTTGCCTCCAGTGATCCAAACAACCGTTAATTCTCTACCTACTGATACACTAAACAATGTATTAACCTTATAACTTTAAACTACCTACTTTATTTAACAAAAACATTAATTAAATTCTTGCAATATTTGCAAAATTTCACCTGTGCATGTTTCCTTTGCACAAACATCGATTGTAATTTCCTTTTGTTATCACGAAACGTTTACAGCAATATTACAAAACCCAGCAATGCAAGCGTCTTATCTCTTTAACGATTGAACGAAGCTGTCGCTTGCAACACTGCACTCGCCTATTTGCATATCAAGCAGTCAGGAATTTTTCTTATTCCAGGCGAATATTACCGGAAGTTATTGCAGAATTGCGCAGCAAACGGAAACACGAAAAAGCGCACGAGACGTAAACAGGAAAAAAGATTTTAAAATTATATGAGCAACGAGCTTTTTCCCTTCACTGCAAAGAAGATGTTGTAAAATTAAATTAAATCTGACTGTGCAGAAAAAGAGGTAAAAAAATCAGAAAAGAAGAAAAAAGTAAAGCAGTAAAATAAATATGAATACAGGATGTAATTATGAGCTCCTCAAGATGTTTTCCTGTTGAATTTTTGAATTAAAACATAACATTTCCGCAAGGCAAGAGTATTAAAACTTGTTTGTGGTTTGCAAGTGGTTTCCAAGCCCAACCGACAAAAGATAATTTTATCTTCTTTTAAAGTTATAAGCAAGTAAGTGCATGTCATAAAATGTTTTCATAATAAGTTTAAAATTAACATAATAAGCCAACATTTAGACAAGTTTTGTGGAAATAACAAGTAACGCCATCTATGATCCAATGAAATAAATATATTTATCTATCTAACATATCCTTAGACTTTTAAGTTATGTCAGTGTTCAGTGGATAAGATTCGGGATATTTTGCCATTCACTTCGCTATCTGCACTTTAATTTGCTACGAGTATTAGTGGGTGTTTGGCCTAACCCTTCCTGTCTACCATTAAGGGTTTAAACATGTTTTGGTTTAGGGTATTCAGTGGTGAGTGTTTTCCCAAATAGCTTTCTGTTTTTGACCGCTGCAGTGTGATGGCGCTGTAAAACACAAGACGAAAAACATGATCGTTTCGCTAATGGGCAATTTATTTATCCCAGCTCAAAGTGGACTTGTGATGCGTTATTTGTTATTGTGGAGATATGCGACATGATCAAGAGGGATAAACCAGGCCGAATCGCTTTGCATTAACGATTTGCTAATGTTTACGCTGCGTGGCAATTGGCGGTTCGATAATAAACATATTGAATGGGCAAACAGGGTGAATCAACATTAGGGAAGTGGGAATTGAAGAGAACCACTTATCATGTTTGTGAATGATTTACTCGTAATGTAAACTCATAAGAGAATATTCAGAAAAACAAATCAGACCACAACATTTAAAAAAAATTGACAAAAAATAAATTAATTTCTTTTTATATAACTTTATGGCTTTTCAGCAAAAAAAAATGTTTTTTTTTGGAACATGGAATAAAAAAATACATTTTAATGAATTTAATTGGAAATTTTAATTATAATTGGATATAAATAACCTGCAGGTTCATGTTATACATGATACTTTGCCGTCGGTAAAAATTTATGTTTGAATTGGCGAAATTAAATATTTCTGAACTTGTTAAAAGTTATCTTTACCTTTGTACTCAGCAAAATTTTGTTTAATATGCTTCGGAAACCGCAGAAACCACATAAATCGCAGAAAATATGCCTGAGTTTTCATTCTCGGCGAGCCACAGCTACGCAACACGCAAAATACGAGAATATGTATTAAATGTGCCAATTAATGTACTTTCGAAATAATATATAATTACGTGTAAATATATTTCTGGAAAAGCAAAACCGATAATGCTGCACTTGTAATATTTCGAGAATTTATATTTTCCGGAATTTTAAAATTATGGATCAAAATGTAAATTTTTCGATGTTTAGACACATGGATAATTTTGTTTAAAATTATATATTAAAAGTTTTGTTATTTCGTACAGGTTTTTAGTTGAAATTTATTTTGGAGTTTGCTGTGGTTGTAATTTTATATTTTTAAATGAAAACAAGTATAATTTTCAATTTATGTTCAAATGACGCTTTAATTAATTTGCTGGCTTTTGGACTTTTCGCATAATTGAGTTAAAAAGACAAAACTTTTTATTAAAAACTTCAAAAAAATTAAATTGAGGACAAAAATTAATTTTAGAAGTAAATTTTAAGAAAAAATATTTTTTGACTTGAACTCAAAAAGTTCCAAAATTCAACATCAAAATATATTATTTATATTCAAGAACGTAAAATTTTGCATTTTCGCATGCACAATCTGAATTTTCAAAGTATTAAAACACTTAACATACTTACAAGTTAAAAATCAACGTGCGGCATCCATAATTCCATAATAATTGCACCGCGTAAGCTGCGCCTTTTCGCGTCCGAGTTCGAGTTGAAGTTTAACTTTCAATTTACATCCGAATCCGTTCGAAGTTAAGCAATTTGCGTTTATTTTTAGCCGCTCAATTTACTTTACCGTAAACTGTCAAAAAGAGATGTGTTCTTTTCCTTTTTGCTACTCGTATCACTTGTTTCGGAACACTTTTTAACACGCACATCAACGTTATTAGCAACCTGCGAATTGTTTACGCAAAACCACTTCGTAGTTAATCCATTCATATCAGACGTATATGCGACACTTTTAAACTTATTAAAATTAAAACTTATTTTAAACTTTTGCGGAGTTTCACTTATTTTAATTATTAGCATTAATGTAGTAGTAACGTAGTATAAATGTTTATATTTTAGTTAGTTATTTATTGTGTCTATGGTTGCTTAAATAATTATTATCCTGTTGGAGATCAGCAGTTTACGTGCGTTATCCTGCGTTATCCTGCGCCGTGCGAGACGCGTTTTCTCTCGACGATCGACGAAACGCGACTGTGCGAGCGGCGACGAACGCGCGACGCCGCCCGCGGAATGCGAGTTGGAGAGCAGCGCAGGAGTGCGGCAGGACCAGAAGGATTCACAAAAATTCATTCATAAAACAAAAATATTTTATATTTTTTGAACAATAAATCGTTATTAATATTCAATTATTTAAATGTTATTTAAAAGAATACTTTTTTGGCAAATTTTTAGATTTTTAAAAACTTTTGAAGTTATGAGAATGCAAAACTTTAAAATTGCCATTCTCCTCAAAATCCTCTTGTAAACAATAGACTAAAGCATATAAATAGCTTAAAATAATTAAAATCAATGTTTTTAAATAAATAATATACAAATGAATCGCAAAATGTGTTGGTTTGCGCATAACTCAACAACGTCTCAACCAATTTGGCCAATTCTTTTTACAAAATGTTCGTTAAAGTCCAAGAATGGTTTTTACGGCGAGAAAAATTCAAATAATTGCAGGGAAAACTCTAAAGACACCCCTTTTCTATAGGATAAACAATGGCATTGAGATTCAATGATAGTTATAGTTAAATAGTGGAATTCGAGATGGCGCGCTGAAGTGCATTATTAGCAATTCTTTATATAATTAATTTCTTTAAAATAAAATTGCGAATCTTATTGATCGAATTGACACATAATATGTCTAGAACAAGAGAGTAATAACGAATGACGTTTTTATTAAACACTACCGGGACGAAATCGCGGGCAAAAGCTAGTTATTTATAAAATAAACATTTTTAAGCAGTGTATAAAATATAATCATAGCTAACAAATGCAAAATACTATTTTTAAACCAATCACAAACTGTAAAAAATATTTTTTACTGTTTTCAATTACATAAAAATAAATATACCTTCTTATCTTAATCAATTATACCTACTATTTTTTCTTTAAATACAAAATAAAACATAAGGCAAACCGCCAAAATTAAATTAAGTTAACTTAAGTTATATTCTACATTTCCTTCACGCATGGCTTAGCTGGTTGCTGCCTACCCATCTACCGCATCGGCAGTTTATGAGTTTAAAAATAAATCAAAATGTTGCGAGTTTCAACAAATGGAGCGCATTATAGCCGTGCTCTTTTAGTGTAGTGTGGTGAACGGCTGTCGAGATGTTCAACTCACACAAGTTTATTGAATGTTTCCTTCAAAAACACATCACATCGTTTGTGGTTCGTGCGGTTTGCGTGCGAATGTGCTTCTAATTTTTCTACTCGGTGTTTATGCGCAATATCGTTCGTGCCTCGAGCGCGTTTTGATTTTGAGCATTAACAGTTTGCGACTTGCGCACGGACCCATGTGGAACATTCGGTTTGTTTGATAATTTGGCGTTTATGACGCCTAATTCGTTTTGCGCGTCAAGCTATCAAGCATCGGCATAAATTATACTCATGCAAGTGTTTTAGAGTTCGATTGCTGAAATAATAAATTGTTTAAGTGCTCAAATACGCTTTGGATAAGTTTTGAGTATTTTTTTAAGTCAATCATTTAATTTTATTATTTTATTTTAGTTTTCTTGAATGTAGGAAAAATATTAGATATAAATAACCTGTTTTTTGTTTTATAAAAAATTTATTTATTAAACATTATACGTGATTTTGGATTTACAATTTTATTTTTGAGTTGACATGTTTCGCCCAGAGGGCATCTTCATAAACTGTTTTTTTTTGTTTTGCAAAAATACCGGTTTTTAGGTATTAAGAACATAACCTGTTATTTTTATTATATATATTTTTTAATTTTTAAAATAATGTTTACATCTCAATCACTTTTTAAATATATTTTTCTTTTTTTTTACCGGTTAACCGGTATTTTTACTAATAAAACCGGTTATTTTTTTGTTTATATTTTTTTTAAATAATAATAATAATTCGCATTTCAATCACATTTTCATTAATTTTTTAAAAATTTTATACCGGTTAACCGGTTAATTAACCATAAAACCGGTTTTTTTTTTAAATCATGTTATGCCCGCCAACTAACCTTAATAATGATATAAATCATCCCGAATTATAATTTTTAATTCCTCATTATTAGATCTACACGTTTTAAATATTTTTACGCTTGTATATTATAAATGTTTAAAAAGTTTATAATTAATCGCATGTAATTAAGTGCGTGCAGCCGCATGGACGCGGTGCGTCGGCCCAAGGCCGAGCGAAGTGCGATGCGCATCGCCCAATTACGCCAGCAATTAAATTTAATTCGTTTAACTCGTTCGATTCGGCTTTGCGCTCGGATATCGCCTCATGCCGCATGCAGACAGATATCGCCACAATTACCGCGCGATAACGGCCACCATCACCATTTCTAAACATTTAAACGCTGTATTGACAAAAACCTGTCTTCTGAGATGACTAGTCACGTGAATGGATGAATTGAGACATGAAACTCATTAGGGCATGCCATTCATGGTCTAGTCTTTGAAAAATACTGAAAAGGGAGAAAAAATTTATACAAATCATAGAAATTAATTTTTCTAAGAGAATATATGAATAGAAGAAATAATTTAATTCTATTTTAACGGATTTTATGAATGAAAATTTGAATTTGTATGTTTGTTACGCTTTGAGGGGAAAACGACTGAACGAATTTTGATAAATTTTGGTATAGAGGTAGTTTAGACATAGGAAAAGCAAATCGTATACTTTTTATAAGTAAATTATTACTCCAAAAGTGTAAAAAGGTGGATGAAAGTTGTTATAAAGAAAAAAATAAAGTTTTTGTTATTTAATTTAATTCTTGATTGCGCTGGTCTGCGTGTTTGTGAATTATTAAAGTCAATTAGTTACTAGATATATTTTACAGTTTTAAAAATAGATAATAATTTATATTTTTAGATTGTAACTAGGTTTTGCCCGCGACTTCATCCCGGTAGTGTTTAATAAAAATGTAATTCACTTTTACTCTCTTGTTCTAGACATTAGAATGTGTCAATTCTATCAATAAGATTCGCGATTTTATTTTAAAGAAATTAATTATATAAAGAATTGCTAATAATGCACTTCAGGGCGCCATCTCGGATTCAACTATTTAACTATAGCTATGATTGAATCACAATGCCAACTTTTATACTATAGAAAATGGCGGTCTTTAGGGTTTTCCCAGCAATTATTCGAATTTTTCTCACCGTAAAAACCATCCTTAGACTTTAACAAACATTAAAAAAAAGAATTGGCCAAATTGGTCTAGGTGTTGTTGAGTTATGCGCTTTCCAACAGATTTTGCGATTTATTTTTATATTACAGAAGATAATATTAAAGCAAGTTTTTTGTAACAAAGAAAAAACTACTGAATAATAATAATAAAGTTTTAAAATCTTTTAACATTAAATTAATTAAGTGTTTTTAAAGTGTATTCAGACACTAATTAATTCTTATCTCTCACCACTTCCTTTGCGTTTGCGTTTGCGTTTCATGCCTTCCAAATATCTCTTTATACTTTTTATCTTTCCATAAAGCAACTGCTTAATATTTTTTTGTGGGCGATTTTTGCTCTTCTTTGCCAGTGACGTACCGACGTGATGACGCCGCTTGCGTGCTCCCTGATGGAGGTAAAACAAAAGGAAGCAGGAGAAGGATCAGTCGCCTGCCAACATGCCAGCACAAACAGACATAACCGGCAGACCGATTTATCGCCGCCGCACAGCAGCGCGCTCTCCGCTTTTTTCGAGGGTGAAGAACAAGCCGAAGGGTAAATAACCGCCGCGGCAAAAGTTACGGCGTGATCGGCCTGATCCTTACGACTCGGACGTGCTGGGCCTTCCAAAGGTATCTTGGGTGCACTTCTTCTTTTAGTTAAATGGAATCTGCCGCGAGAGACATGAAGGAACGGGAATAATCAGCGAGAGATAAAAAATGTGTGATCCCTCTGCGTGCGTGCGATATTGTTTTTAGTGATTGCATTGAATACACACGGACGAGTAAAAACATGTTTAGTATCTCGAATATCCACGATCGAGATAGAAAGAAAAGTTTTGGTTAAAAATTCTTTTCATGTAAGATCAACGTCTTTCATTAGAAGTTAGAAGTATTTCAACATTCAACAACAAAACAAAATAATATGTGTAAGCTATTAATCACCAGGTGGCGTTGGCATCGAAAAAACAATATATTGTAACCTCAAAAATGAAACGTCTGAATGTGAGGCATAGTCAATAACAAAAGTTTTGTGTGTTTAATTTAAAATTGAGAACTTTAACTCTCCGACTCGCCGAACTCTTAATTTATATTTTTCTTTTCAATTTCACTTGATAAAACGTACAATTGTAACACTTTTTATTGCTTCTTGTTTTTATGCTGCGTAACTTGAAACCAAAAACTGAAAACTTTTACTTTCACGATTATTCTTAAAGATTATCATTGTCCCGCATATTACATTTTTGCTTCAAAATATTTTGTTTCATTTTGTTCGGCGACTGTTTCGTGTTTTTGTTAGTTTATCTTTGATTGTGCTTTCAATGTCAATGTCTGAACATTCTAACCGCGTATTCTAACCGTTGAGGTCGATGCCTCTGCGGCTGCTTGTGGATAAATCTTTAGCGTCGCTGAAAGTAATAATTCAACAATAATTCGATATCGCGCATACATCTCAAAGCTTACGGACGCATTAACGCCTATTTTATAACGTGATATATATGTTGCGTAGCTGGCAGCGCGCAATTATCTGATTGAAAATTATTGTTTGTAGACGTCGTTAATTTTTAGGTGATAATTAATATCATTATGGGTGTTATATTATTGAATGTTGAGTAAGAAAAAACAGCTACTATTTTAGAGGTCTGTAAAGTTATAGTTTAATGCAGTGTTACAAGTATACTGGTATTATCTATTAGGTGAGATAAGTATTATGTGTTTCTCTATAGATATAGTCGTAAAATAATATTTTTGATTAAAATTTGTCAAAATATGCGCAAATTCATGAATATAAATAAATTTGCTGTTGATACAAATATTATAATGTTGATTTAATAGTTTGTG